CACTCACCCACTCACTCATCCATTTACTCACTCACTCATCCACTCACTCACCCACTCATTCACATACTCACTGATCCATTTACTCACTCATCCACTCACCCACTCACCTACTCACTCACTCATCCACTCATCCGCTCACTCACTCATCCATTCACTCACTCATCCATTTACTCACTCACTCATCCACTGACTCACTTCTCACCTAGTCACTCACTCATCTATTCACTCACCCACCCACTCACTCACTCATCCACCCACTCACTCACCCACTCACTCACTCACCCACTCACTCATCCACTCACTCACGTGTTTTGAGTTTCCCCTCTGAGTTAGGCCTAGGCCTGGTGCATGTCTGTCTCCAGGCTCCCAGCTGGTGGACACAGCTTTATAAACTAGCCTCTCAGGGTTCCTATAGCAGCAGGAGGCATGGGCTGGGGCACTCAGCTTGGGGCATCAGGTCAGGCTTCCTGGAGGAGCTGTCCACCAAGGAAGGGATGGGCTGCATATGCAGGTGAAGTTTCTGCTTTTCTGTCTTGCCTTCCAAGCCAAACCTCTGAGACTTGCACACACTCCCCACAGGCCCAACAACACAGTGGGTGTTCACGGTCCTGAGTGAGGCACCCTTGTCTCCTTGCATCCTGGGTGAGGCCGACTTTGCCTCCTCTGCTACCTCCACCCCTACTGCTCAGAAATGAACTGTGTACCTCTGAAAGGCTGGGGGCCCTTGGGGGTAGACCTGGTCCCCAGAATCCAGGCCCCTGTGAGCAGAGGCACAACAGCCAAGTTGGGATGGCCATGTCTGATGGAAGTTTGTCCTAGACTCATGGGGCCTGAGTTTCATCAAAGGAGAAAGTACCATCTTGGCCTGTCAGTGCAGGGATGTGCCCACACCTAGGGAGGGGGCCTGGCCTGAAATAGCAGCCTTCCTGTAGCCCCTCAGGGGCCAATGATGGGCCAGGGGAAAAGGGGGTGCCCTGAGTTAGGACATGTCACGGGGTGGAGATGCCTAGCCGATGCCTTCCAGATCCCCAGGGTGGTTCTTGGAAGGGAGTCAGACCCAGCCTCTGACCAGGCTGCCCTGGGCCCTGGATGTGCCTCTGTGGCATGGTTCACCTGAGGGCCATGCTGCAGACTTCTGGCTCCTCAGAGGGTCACTGGAAGGGCAGAGTCATCTGTGGCCATGGTGTGGCTGATGGGGCAGAGCCCTAGCCTGGCCTCGGCCTCTACAGACCTGAGCTGCAGCCCCTGTCTCCTTCTGGTCTCTCTTAGTGCCTTGCTGGTTGGTCACGAGTCCTCCCTCTGCCTCTGTGCCCCCTGAGGCTTGGGAGTAAGGTGCCAGATGCTCTGCACCCACAGCCTTTGGCTAGAGCTGGCTGGCACCCTGATCCTGCTCAGCCTAGGGAGAGGCCTGAGGGGCAGGATGTGGCTACAGGGAGTAGGTGAGGGGCAAGGAGCTGACCCTCTGTGAACTAAGGGCCGAGCCCACATCCCCCAGCAAGAGCCAGAGCTGGGTGTCACTGCACCCGCCGACACAAGGAAATGAGTCCAGAGAGCCTCCTGTCCTTTGTGGGGGTCCCTAGGTTGCGCCCTCCCCTGCCCAGGTGGTCTGGGAGGGCTTCCCACCTGCACCTGCAATGCTCTACACTCCCACTGCAGCCTGGTGGTCTAGCCCTTCCTGGTGGGACCCAGACCTGGGGCAGTGCCAGACAGGTGAGGAGGGGCTGCCCTGCCCAGGCCTTGCTGACTAGGTGCTGAAGTCTCCCAAGGAGGGCTGCAGCTTCCTCCCACAGGGGCCCAGATGGTGGGAGAAGGTAGGCAGGAAGAGCCCCCCAGCTAAGGTTCTGATGAAATCCAGATGGATGGACACAGCCTGCTGCTACCCCATCCCACACAGGCTCCCCACAGCTGGGCTGGGTCTCTGTACCCACTCCTCCCAGTGCCTGTCTTGCCTGGGCTCCTTGCCCTGCGGACAGATGCACAGACAGCCCCCAGGTGACAGTGTTGGCCTCTGATCTGCGGTGTAACCTTGGGACAGTGGGGAAGGAGGAACTGCCTTTCAGGGCTGTCACACAGTGTGACTCAGGCTATGTAGAGTCTGTGGGTCTCACACACCAGGCCCTGGATGCAGATGGCATTGCTAGTACCAGCTGTGGCCAAAGAACCCACATCCCCAAGGCCTCCTGGTATCCAGCTGTGTGGGCTCCTCCCAGGTCCTCAGCTCTGGGACCCTCACTGTCCCCCACCCCTGGTCCTGCCTGGGTGGATGCGGGTGCTGCCACCACTGCTCTCTAAAGGACTCTGCCATGCATCATAGATTACTTTTATTTTCCATGATGACACCTCAGTAGGAGGAAAGCCATCCCTGGGGTCTCTTAAAAGACAACTCCGATTAACGACAGAGGAGTTGAGCAAAACACTGGTGATGGTTTTGCCACAGTAGGGGGTGGCAGGAGGCAGGCTGTGGTCCCCTTGGGACAAAATGGGCTGGAGAAGCCCAGAGCTGGGACGGAGGGTGGGGCGCACTTGAGGGTGCAGAAGCAGGGGGAGCGAGCAACAGCCACCGGATAGCTGGCATCAGAAGCCCTGAGTGCACACAGCTTAGGGGTGGCAGCCATGGGTGGGCCAGTGGCGGTGGCTGCAGAGGAGCCGCCCCAGGGAAACAGCGAGTGGGCTTGGTGAGCTTACCTGAGGCATGTCTGTTGTAGCATACCTGTAGGGCTGGCATGAGCAATAGCGGGGGAACAGTGAGTGTGTGTGTGATTGTGTGTCTTTGTGTCTCTGTGTCTCTCTGTATGTGTTTGTCTCTGTGTGTGTCTCTCTGTATATCTCTGTGTATGTATCTTTGAGTCTTTTTGTGTGTCTCTATGTTTCTGTGACTGTGCAGGTCTGTGTGTGTGTCGGGGTCCCCTGGGAGTCCACAGCATGCTTACCAAATGTGCACCAGGTCCCCCTGGAGGGCATTTGAACCCAGGTATCAGCTTGTCCCCCAGAGGGCCCAAGGTCTGGGGTCTGCTCAGACTGTGTCTCAGTGGTTCTCTGGGGACGCTGTGGGGCGCAGGCTTAGGCTGGGGGTGGGTGTACTTCACCCAGGTCCTGGGGCAGGTGGCAGCTGGAGCCAGTGTGAGGCTCTCCTGGAGGGTAGTGGGTCGGGGCCAAGCAGCAGGGCAGTGTCTCCTGGAGGGTAGTGAGTCGGGGACAAGCAGCAGGGCGGTGTCTCCAGGATAGATCCGGGGCCTTGGCACATTCAGAAGGATGAGGATTGGCCTGGGATCTGGGGGGACATGGTAGTCATGATGGCAGCATAGAGATCCTTTTGTATTTGGTCACTGTGCTGGGTGCCTTGAATGGAGGCTTTGAGTGGTCACATCATCATATTGAAAGCCAGGGAAACTAAGGCATAAGAGACTGGGTCAACAGGTCCAGGTCGGAGCCCAGGGAAGTCTGAACTGCGCCCACAGCAGCTGCCGAGTGGGAAAGAGGGACTGGCAGGTGATGCCCTCAGTGCAGGCACTGGGAGGGTCCCTGGCCTGGGAGGGGTGCACAGAGGCCCCCACTTGGAGGAATGACGTGCAGGCCATGGAGCTCCATTCTGGCCATGTCTCCTAGAGATGGCTAATCGGGTTCTGAGGGTGGGACGCCCTGGTGCCCGCATGGGTGGGTGACGGGCAGCTGCTGATGCCCACTGAGTGCCTACACCTCTCCTCCCAGGGCTGCCCAGAAACTCAGTCTGGCCTCCAAGCGCAAGAAGCCCCACCCACCGCCGGCTCCGGCTGCCCGGGGTGCCTCCACCTACCCCACCAACTTCAGTGGGGTCATTCAGCTGTGGCCACCCCCAGTGCCCCCCTGCCTGGTTAGAGCCACCTCTAAGGCCAAGGACAGCTCCGGCAGCGAGGGAAAGGTAGGCCCACCCTGCGGTCATGGTGATCCGGACAGGAGTAGGGGTGGGGGTGTGCAGATGGAGCGACACCCCTTCCTCCTCCTAGGCTGACCAGGGGTGGTTGGAGGGCCACAAATGGGGAGATCGAGGCCCAGGGAGCCTGGGTGGGGGCGGTGTGTCCACAGAGGTTCCAGGGCCAGGTGGTGGTCTCTGTGGGATGCTGCCTGAGGTAGGCAGGGGTCAGGTGGGGACCCCATCATTTTCTAGGTTGCTGTGTTTGCAAAGATCCCAGTTACAGCCAGCCTGGCGAAGTGGGATGTGTGATGCAGGTTTAGGCTGCCTGTGGCAGTTGGGGAAATTGAGGGGCAAGGGCCTTGCCTAACGTGGGGTCTCCTGGCTGGCCCCAGTGGGGTGGCTGTTCTGGCTACACCCCCAGAGGCTTGGAAGCCCCATGTCTACCAGGAAGCAGAGGAGCCCATTTAGTGAGGGTGAAATGGTGCTCCAGAGTTGCACGGGTGTGGGGGGAGACTGGACCCAGGGTTGAGCGCTTTCCTGGCCCTGTACCTGCTCTGCAGGGGCCCCTCCCAGGTGCCCCGAGAGTGTACCCAGTGGCTATTTCCCCAGAGTCTCCACCCCTAGGGCCCAGGGGCTTCACCTCCCCATGGTCTGTGCCATGTTGGAAACCCCCTGATGTGTCTGCAGAAGGAGGTCAGGGTGGCTGTCCTGTCTGGAGGGTGCCACTCAGGCATGTTGGGCGGCCCCTGCATGGCTTCCCAGCCTCTGTGGCCCGGGTAGCCTCTAGCCACAGCCCAGCTCCCATAAATAGACACAGCTCCAGACCCTGGCAGCCCCCAGCATTTTCTTTTTCTTTTATTTTGTTTCTTTTCTTTTCTTTTTTTTTTTGAGACAGAGTCTCACTATGTTGCCCTCGGTAGAATGCTGTGGTATCACAGTTCACAGCAACCTCCAACTCTTGGGCTTAAGCAATTCTCTTGCCTCAACCGCCCAAGTAGTTGGGACTACAGGTGCCTGCCACAATACCTAGCTATTTTTTGGTTGCAGTTGTCATTGCTGTTTAGCAGGCTTGGGCCAGGTCAAACCCTCCAGCCTCGTTATGTGTGGCCGGCACCCTACTCACTGACCTATGGGTGCCAAGCCACCCCCAGCATTTTCTGAGGCATCTCTGGGTCATGGGAGGGCCCATGAGATCCTGTGCCACCCAGCAGCTGTAGTGAGGTGTGCCAACTGGCCCCAGAGCACCTGTTCCAGGGGCTCCCTCCCCTCAGGCCTCATCAGGCTAGTGCTGCCTGGACTGGTTGTGGCCTAATGGCATCCCGTGGAGTGCACTGGGAACTCTGGCTGGTCCTGTGGCCATGGCTGCCAGGCTTGAGTGCTGTGCAGTTGATACCGGGTGGAGCTATGTGCACATGATGCGGGGGTTGGTCAGCCCCAGAGTGGGGTATGTACCTCAGGAGCTCCCTGCCTCTGAGTCCCTCTAACCATGTGTTCCCCCTAGCTTCATGGAACGGGATAAATCACCTTTCTCCTCCAGCCCTGCTTACTACATTCTCATGGGCAGGTTGGCTGGGCTGTCTGGCCTATCTGTGTTCTCCTGACGCAGACACTCTGAGTCAATGACCCCAAGTCAGAGGGAACTCTGTGTCCTGGGGTGGCCAACTCTGTCTGTGCTGTTCAGCCTGGGGGCAAGAGCTGCTTGGAGAGGTAGCTTGCCTCTTGGGACCTCCTCATTCCCAGCACTGCTTGGGGCTCGGGGCAAAGAGGGGCTTCCCATCCTGTGTCCCTGTGCTCTGCACCAGGGCTGTTTCTCCCACAGCATCCCTGGGAAGCAAGGCAGATATCAGCCCCATGTTCTGGCCCAGGCCTGGTTGACTCAAACCCCAGTGTCCTCTCCACCCTGGAAAGCCCCTAAGGCAGGGCGGTTGGGCCCTTAAGTCGGGCCATGTGCGGTGTACAGCTGTGCTGAACCCCAGGGAAGGATGGCTGAGGTCCGGTGTGAAGGGAAAGGTGCAGCTTTGGGGCTTCTAGCCCAGCACTGGACTTGAGGGGGTGACCTCAGTCTGTCTACTGAGCCTGCCGGTCCATCTGGGCCTCTCCATCTGCAAGCAGGGCTGAGGGGTGGAGGGCTGCTCTGCCCTGGCTGTTACTCAGAGACCAGCACCACCCCTGGTTCCTGAGGGCCCCCTTCTTCCTCTCTGTGGCAGAAACCCCCACCCTGTTCCCTGGCCACTCAGCCCTTGGCCACTGGCCTTCTAACCCCCCACACTGTGTCCCCTCCCCAGCTCCCTGGATGTTATTAGCACTAATATCACATGCTCAGAGATGCCGCCTGAAAGGCGTTTAATATTGTCACCGAGAAGAAGTTAGATTACGCTCAATTTCTGACATTAATGTGCTACTTAAGATAATCCATCACAGGGTGGTATTAAAAAAGACATCCTTTCTGGGTGGGTGCTGTGTGCCCCTCCTCCCTCGCCTGCCTGTGCTACCTCTTGGGAGCTGGAAGCCCTTTTTTAATGCAAAATGTGTTTTTCCCCCACCAGGCAGCTATTCAGCAGGGCTTTGTGATATCGGAACATTTAGGGTAGAGGCTTGACGTGCTTCTCCGAAAAGACCCTGTCATTTCCCACAGTAATGACAGGGTTCTCTCTGGCAGACAATGGCCTGGCGCTGGGATGGGGCAGCACTGAGGGCAGGCTGGTGGCTAATGCCCCTCTGTGCCCTGTCCCCTCCTGGGGAGGCCAGACTCTGAGATTAAAACTGTGGCTGAGAGGATGGCCCTCAGGGGATGTCAGAACCAAATTGAGGGCTTCTCCGGCCTTCCCTGGCCTTCCCTTCCCTCCCCTTCCGGCTAGGAATTCTCTCAGATCTGAGAACCCTTTCTGCTCCTGAAGTGATGAGGAGTTCATGCTGGAAAAAAATTGCCAGAAATTACCAGGAAGTGCACATTTTCGTCTGCTTTGCAGCAGCGTTGGGAAATGAAATAGTTTTGTTCCTGTCATCAGGGAATAAATGAATCGATTCTCGCCTAATGGAGCCCAGGTTCTGGGAGGTACAGTAGAAGTGGTCCCTCAGGCTCTCCTGAGAGGGGCACTCCCAGCTGGAGCAGTTTGCATATCAGTCCGCCTAGTGGAACTATCCACGGTAAACCAATTTTGCCAACCTTATGTATCTGTCACTTACAATTAAATCTGTGAAAAATATTGGCTTTGAAATGAGTCTCGGGTAATTTGATTTAGGCTGTAGTGGAGAAATCAGAGATTTCATCGCAGAGTGGACTGTGGTGTCCATAAGGAGGGGCTTGAATTGGGGCTGCTCTTGGTGGTCAGAGCCCCCCAGCCCCTGTGCACACAATGCACCTGTTGGGTTGCTCCTTCTCCAGCAGTTCTGGGCCCTGGCAGCCCCCCATGCCAAGCCTCTGCTCCCTCTGAGGGTGCCGGGCTAGCTGGCCAGGGGCTTCCTGAGACTGGTACTGTCAGTGCTTTGGAGACACACCCTTGATCCTGAGCCAGAGCTGCCTGCCACCTGCCAGGGCCCTGGGAGCTCTGGCCAGAAGTCCAGCCCCACCCTCATCCTGCCAACTCCGACCCTGTGCACCCCCTGCTGCCCCAGCCTCAGTCTCCCCAGCCTGCATGAGCACTTGTGAGACAGAGGGCTTCAGAATCCTCATCTCTCCTGGGAAGCGATCCTTATTTTCTTTGGGTCTCTGATTTGTCATTTTTATAGGGTTTTCTCCAGCTTTCTCCTTGCAGGGACCCTGCCAATCATTGGGTTTTTGAGTTTAGCTTCCCAAGCTGGCTGGGGGTTGGAAGCAGCAGTCCCGAAAGTCTCCCCAGCACCACCAGGATCTGG